TGAGCAGGGAGCCCGATGCGGGGCTCGATCCCGGGACTCCAGGATCATGACCTGAGCCGAAGGCAGTCGCTTAACCAACTGAGCCACCCAGGCGCCCTGGTTTAGTATTTCTTGCAACTTGCGCCATAGGAAAAAGCACTAGCCCACAAGCCAAGAGACCTGGGGTATCGTTGTGGCTTTGTGACCGACCCCCTGGGAGACCTTGACCAACAAGTTTCCTCCAGAAATGAAGTGGCCTCTGGGACTATTTCCACTTTGAAACCTGCCGTTTCTGTGCTGTGCAGGGGCTGCATGCTGAGGAGGAACTTGCCAGCATAAGGCTGTATGGTTCCAGGTTATCAGAGGGGCTGTGCTTTGATCCCGGGAAGCTTTTTTTCTCACGTGATACCTGTATTGCTGCTCTTCAAGCCTTGAGATAACCTCTGGGAGGAGATCTCATCAGTGATTGCAAGCCCGCCTCTCCCATCAGCTCGGTGTTCTCTGCATTTCCAGATGCCTGCGTCAGATGAGCCCCAAGATTCCGGTGGCCCCGAGGAATCCAAGGGAAACCTGGAAAGTCCCAAACAGGGCAGCAGTAAAATGAAGCTCAAGAGTCGTCTTTCAGGTGAGTGGAACTCTTTGCCTGATGTGGCCTGTCTGAAAGTGAGCTTCTAGCCTCAGGAGTGGAAAGATAAGGTCATTAATGGAATGAGCTCTTTTTTTCCCTTACAGCCTTAAAATTGTTTTTCCTTTAGATAGTGCATGCCCCAAGCATAAAACTGCATTCAGCCCGGCTGCCCTGGTGAATATTTTTGAGTCCTAATGAAGCGAATGTCAACATCTCCCCGTTTGTCTCTGCTCAAACCTAAATTTCCTGTGTATATGGTTCATTTACTTCCGCAGAACTTTAGGTGACCCCTGCCCTGTGGCATATTCCTAGTGGCCTATCTTCCTGGCAAATGCCCATTCCCCCAAGCCCTTGGTCCACCGGAACCAGGGGCAAAGAGCTATTTACTTGGTATTAAATCTGCATCTCAACGAAGCAGGCGGGAAAATGGGATGGGAGTTGCAGCTCTGGGAACAAAGAGAGTTCACATTTCCTGGGCAGAACCTCATAGCAGCGGGCTTGTGTCCTAAGTTCTTGCTGAAAGCAGAGGCCACGTGCAGGAACCCGTTATGATCCGTGGGTCCTAGGCACTAACTCCCTGATGGGCTCTTTCCCCTATTAAAAAACAAACCAACCAACCCTGAACGTTATATTTCACGGCTGCATTGGTATGAAGACACGAGCTGGATTCTTTATTATCTCTTCATTACTATGATGTTTATACTGAAAACTCTCTTGTGGGCCCTCTGCATGGTGGGGAAGCCAGCCCTGGCTGCCCACCCGTGAAAGGCATCTCCTGTGACCTTGGGCCGCTTACTTCAAGCCCCTGAACTTCCATTCCCTCACCTGAAAAAAGGAGATAATAATCCTGGCTTTGAAAGGGTGAGCAGATTAAAAAACAAACACACAAAACACATGCAAGTAGCCAGCCAAAGCATGGCGTATTAACATCCAAAGCCTGTCAGTCTCCTCTTCTGCACAAATGCATGCAGAAGGGCAGTCTGTGCCTGCCACCCAGGACCACCGCCCCCTCACCACCCCCACACTGCTCCCCACCCTGGTCGTCTACTGAGCTGTCCTCAGGTAAAGTGACTGGTACATAAAATACATCTGTTTCTTTTAACAAACCTGAATAATAAAGTGAATTAGTGTATTTGTAACTCATAATAGTTATCTGAACTTGGGTCTGCGACGAAACAGTGATATGGTCAGAGGCTGATAAGTTGGAGGGGAGACACTGTGCCGAAGGTCCTCATGTGGAGAGACTGGCTAGCTCCCCTGCAGCCCCAAGGAACAACAGAGAGAAAGACGTTCAATTCCTGTGTGTGTTTGGGGCCTAGGAGTCACAGGGCATAGGGGATGGAGATCTAAGGTCAGCTGTCTTGGCAGAGTTAATCAACACCTTATAAACCCAGGAGGGCCACAGAGCTCTGGGGAGGCATCAGGGACCTTTGAAACCTGTGCAGTCACATTCCTCATTTTATGGATGAGACCAGAGAAGTGAAGGGAATCCCAAAGGTCACTCATTCAGTGCCAGCAAAAAGATCTGCCTCCCAGATCGTTCTTCTTACCTACCCCTTGCCTTCCTGAGACTTGATGAGAATCCTACTCCCCAGTCTGGGGTTTTATAGATACAGACATGGGAAGGGGGATTATGTGATACACCCCACCGCCGCGGCCATTAACATCACGGTCATCACCGTCATTTGCAACCTTACTCTCATTGTCGTCTCCTCTTTCCCTCTCAAGAGGGGAAGATGCTTGAATAGGTTCGGACAAGAATAGTCTTGAGAACTTTAGGTCATGATAGGGCACGCACGAGAGGTACGAAGATGGAAGTCTCTCTGGGTCGTGGTGCTCAGGGGAGGAATTCAGAGGACACAAGATAAAGGAGGGCCAGGACCTTGGCAAGATTTGACAGAACCCAAGAGGAAGCAACAGTGGTCTAGAAGAGGGAGAAAATGCATGAGAAATGTTTAGGGGCAATGGGGGGAAATGGGTTAGAGAAGTTTCTGGCAACTGTTTTTCCTCCTCAGCTTTCTGAAAGATCCAGTAATCCATCAGGAACCATGATTGAATCCAGCAGAGCTTGTCAGGGAGATTAGGGGTATGGAGCCCCTCGGGGTGGGAGGGACAATGGTGCCAGCAAAGTGAGGTAAAATGTCAAGCAATATTTATAGGCTCCCCAGTTTTGGAAAGGATGTGGGAGGAGGACAGATCCTCTCCTTTGAGAATCAGCAGGCCAGAGCCACGGATTCACAAATTCACGTAGCAGGGCAGTGGGAGATAAATAAGGCTGGAAAAGTAATTTGAGACCTGTGAAGGAGGCTTACGGAACTGGGTCTTCCTTCAGGGCTGTGAATATGTTCAGTCTAAAGACGTTTGACTACAGGAGATTTTAATGTGCTCAACTGCTAATTTGTCCTGTAAACTTGGATATTTATTTCCTATTTTCTAAAAGTGAGTCACTCTGGTATTCACGTATCAGTATATTATCTACAGACACTACTGTATGTGGTTTCTCTTCTGTTAAGGCAAGTGCCTCCCTGTCAGCTCAAAAGGCACTTTCTTCTAATAAATCTTTTTCAGATACTAAGCATGCCAAGATGGATTAATCTGGCCATGAATTAGTAAGTCATGAATTATTAAAGAGGTTCTGTAAAGAAGTTCCAGCCATTTCCACAAAGATTTTTGCCTAGTCTGGCTCCAGAATGACTAAAGTGATTTTATAGAACATTTTTCCTAATATTCTAACCTGAATTTTCCTTACTTCATACTGCCTTTTTTGCCAGCAGGGTTCCCTTTTAATTTTGGTATTTTTGATTTATCCGTGTTAATGCCCTAGGTTTGTGATCTTTTTAAATGGAAATTTCTCTTTGATTGCAAAGGAGTTTCAGGTGTTTGAAAACCTGTATCACAAAGTTAATATGTAGCTTTTGAAACACCAAGCATTTAGTGATGTTCATGTTAATATAACTATATCAGCACTCTTCCAACTTTTCATCACCACTAAAGACTCAATATATTATTTTGAAAAGAGTACAGAATCATCCTGTTTTATTCCATGAAAAACTTTCTGAGAAATGTTTACGTAAATTGAATTTTAGGTCATCAAACGAAACATAGTCTAGGAGAATTTGATATTACAAAGAATATGTGTATACAGCTCTAAACACACACATATGTATATATACATTTATAATGTATCATGTAAACATTGTAATGTAATTATAGCTATATTCAATGTAATTGAGCCATTGTTTAAAATTAAAGTCCCTTAAATTATCTTATTTTAAAATAGCATATAATATAAACTAGGTATTGATAAAGGTGTCTTTAAAAATTACTATAAAAATTTCCTAAGACACAAAAGTTCTAAGCATACAGGGAAAAATTGATATATCATACTGTGTTAAAATTATTAATTTTTGCTCATCTAAAAATACCATTAAGAGGGGCACCTGGGTGGCTCCGTCGTTAAGCATCTGCCTTCGGCTCAGGTCATGATCCCAGGGTCCTGGGATCCAGCCCCGCGCCGGGCTCCCTGTTCAGTGGGAAGCCTGCTTCTCCCTCTCCCACTCCCCCTGCTTGTGTTCCCTTTCTCGCTGTGTCTCTCTCTGTCAAATACATAAATAAAATATTTTAAAAAATAAATAAATAAAAATTCCATTAGGAGTGAAAAGGCAAGTCACAGACATGGAGAAGATATTTACAATACATAGATCCCATGAAGGACTCATATCTGAAACACATTAACAAAAAAAATTAAAACTCCTATAAATCAACAACAAAAAGAAACCCAATAAAAAAATAAGCAGAACAGGGCACCTGGGTGGCTCAGTTGGTTAAGCGACTGCCTTCGGCTCAGGTCATGGTCCTGGAGTCCCGGGATCGAGTCCCACATCGGGCTCCCTGCTCAGCGGGGAGTCTGCTTCTCCCTCTGATCCTCCCCCTCTCATGCTCTCTGTCTCCCATTCTCTCTCTCAGATAAATAAATAAAATCTTTAAAAAAAAAAAAATAAGCAGAACAGACACTTTACAACTTTATTTAAAAAAAAAAAAAACACTGTCAAATTTACAGAAGTAAAACAGCCAATGAATATTTGAAAAAGTTCTGTCACATTGGTCATCAGTGAAATGTAAATTAAAAACCACAGTGAGGGCCCCTCGCTGGCTCTGTTGGTGGTGCGTGGGACTCTTGATCTCAGGATTATGAGTTCAAGCCCCACTTTGGGTGTGGAGATTACTTGAAAATAAAATCTTAAAAAAAAAAAAAAAAAACCCACAGTGAAATGTCATTATATATCCATGAGAGTAGCTAAAATTTAAAAAACTGGCACCACCAAGTATGAGGAGGATGTGGGGAAACCAGGACTCACAGCACAGTGGTGTTAAGGCATTGGGAAAGGTGGATATGTACCCGGAGCTCAGCAACTCTGTCCTAGGTCTGCACCCCACAGTTAGGATTTGTATGAGAATGTTCCATAACAGTATGTTCTAGATCAAGGGTCAGCAAATTACCACCCACAGCTATATTTGTATGGACTACAAGCTAGAAATGCTTTCTACATCTTCATTGGGTTTAAAAAAAAAAAAAAAAACACGTTTAGAAAATATGCAGCAGAGACCATCTGTGGCCCATAGAGCCTAAAACATTTACTATCTGGCTTTTACCCGCCCCCCCCCCAAAAAAGTTGTTGACCCTTGTTCTAGAACTGAAACTAGAAACAAAGCAAGTGTTCATCAGCAACAGAATGGATAGCCAAATTGTGATGTGTTTATACAATGAAATAGTATACAGAAACGGGATGAACAGACTCTTAGCAGCAACATGGGGACTTTCACAAACAGATGCTAAGAATGAGGAGCCAGATATAAAAAAGTACATATCGCATGTGTTCATTTATATAAAGTTCAAAAATAGACAAAAGTCATCTATGATGTTGGAAGTCGGGATAATGGTTACCATGGGTGAAGGCTGGTTAGGGGTGCCAAAGTGGCTTTTGGGTTCCAGAAATACTGTTTCTTGGTCTGAGTGTTGGTTTTTGGAACATTCACTTTGTGAAATTTCATGGAACTGTACACTTACGACTTGTGCATATTTCTGTAAGTTTTTATTCTTTAATAAAAAACTTTATTTAGGGGCACCTGGGTGGCTCAGTCATTAAGCGTCTGCCTTCGGCTCAGGTCATGATCCCAGGGTCCTGGGATCGAGCCCCGCATCGGGCTCCCTGCTCCGCGGGAAGCCTGCTTCTCCCTCTCCACTCCCCCTGCTTGTGTTCCCTCTCTCACTGTGTCTCTCTCTGTCAAATATTATTTAAAAACTCATTACATGAAAAAAAAAAAAACACCCGCCCCAACAATGGAACTGCACCAACCACCAAGTAATGTTCCTCCATCACTAGAAAACCATCCACTGATAGCATTCTCTTGTTTATTGCCTTATCAACCCTGTCTACATCTTACTTGGATGAAACGTATACATTTTCCCATATCCAGTCCGGTCCCTTCGAAGACTGGCACTTTCTTCATAATCCGGCATCAGTGGCCCCAACGCTCACCCAGCTTATTGGTAGAAAGCCATGAGCTCAGTGCTTTGAAAGTATTAGACACCAGGCCTTCCGAAAACCATGTAGTGTGGCTGTAAATGCAACAAGCTTATGCCTGTGATGCTCTCGTAAGATTCTTTCCATCCCATATCATGCCGTGTTTTTCTCCATGTTTTTACAAGGGGGTATACACCGGCTAGAGTCTGTTGAAGAATATAATGAGCTAATGGTGCGAAATGGGGACCCCCGGGCCAGGATGTTGGAAGTCTCCCGAGATGGCCGAAAGCACTCTCTTCCCCAGCTACTGGACTCCACTGGAGCATCACAGGTAGTACGGTACCACAGAGCTTTCGTTTTCTCATGCCGTGCAAGTTTCCCGGTTAGGGACATAAGAGTGTGTTTCCACCCCTGCGTCTCTAGGCTTTCTTTTACTCTTTCGGAGACCAACAAGAGCATCCATGTTGTGAAGAACTGCCCATCTGTGTGGGCAGGGGTATTTGGGACTAGAGATGTAGCACAGAGAGCGAGGTCTATCCATGGAGGTTAGGAGGAAGTCAGCCTAGTATTTGAAAACAGTAGAGAAAAATAATCCTTTGTTGGATCTCGACATCTTGGTCCCTCTTCCTACTGTGTGTTTTGGAACGGAGAGCTGCTTTCACTGCCAGGAGACCATGGCGCCTCACGGTCTGTGGTCGACCACCATGGCCTGTTTCGTGGGCGCGTCAGGTGTCACCGTAACCACTGGGTGGGTGGGTGGGTGGGTGGGTGTTGGGTCGTGTGAGGGGGGGCATTGCCTGTGTGTGCCCTTACTGTGTCTGGGATTTTCCCTGTTACACAGTAATGACTCAAACAGGCAAGGTCAGAGGGGCTGCGGATGGGGGTGAAGGAGGCAGCGATGTTAATATCGCAGGGCCTGCCCCAGAAGAGCTCAGGGCTCCATAATTCTTCACAGGGCTCTTCCTCAATTACATCAACCTCAACCCAGTGAAAAGTGGGTAGAGAGCTCCTAACCAAGTTGAAGGCAGGCTCAGTCTCGGGAACTTGTGGAGTGTTCTCTCAGTCCTGGCACCATCAGCCCCAGGGCTCGAGAGAAACCATCGGCATCTTGCCTACAATGAAGCAGAGATGGAGGCGGAGGGTGGAGCAGCAACATCCATAAGTGCATGTAGACTCATAGATCGTAGAGATGAAAAGGACCTGGGGCAGGTCATCTGGGTCGGGTCGTTACTTTGGGTGTGTTATCACCATTTTAGAGACAGGCCAATGAATCGCAAAGAGATTTGCCAGAATCACTGGGAAGAACGTTTTACCTAGCCAGTCAAATAAGAAGTGCCCGTGTTCCAGAGGCAGCTGTTGATCAGGTTATGCTGTGTGGAATCTACCCAAAGACAGCTTGAGTCGGGATGTGGAGAAAAAGCAGAGCAGAAAACCTGCGTGGGTTCTGGTTAAAACCCCTCTGGACCCGTGACTGGAGACGAGCCTGTGGCCTGCTCAGAATAATCCAACTGGACTGGTGGAGTCAGGGGGTGGATCAGAAATCGTAAGAGAGCCACGTTGTCAGGCTGTTTTAGTTAGTGCAGAAAATGAGAGAGGGTTTCCTGCCATCACAGCCAAGGAGGCCTCGCTCTGAGGTGATTTCTTAACTGAGAGAAACCCGACCATATTTATAGCCCAGAAATACCTATTTCTAATGAGGCTTCTAGAAAGCACAGGCTGGTGAAGATTTTAGAGGAAAGACTTTTTCAAACCCTTGTCAAATCACCCTTTTCCTTTTCTTCTTCTTTTTTTGCCAGGATTCACCCTTTTCCCTTGTTCTCTCTCTCCCTACAAAGCATTGCCAAGAGTAGAGCCACCCAATACAGCTTTCCACAGTGATGGAAATATTTTATGTCTGTACTGTCCAGTATGGTAGCCACGTGTGTCTACTTGAGCACATGAAAAGTGGATAGTGAGACTGAGGAGTGTAATTTTTGTTTTAATCTTCATTTGCGTATAGACAGCCACAGTGACTATATTGGACAGCAGAGGTCTAAAAAGTGCAGTGGGACCCCTGAAACTCATCAAGGGAACAAGGAAGCATGCAGGCCTCTGGTTCCCATCGACTCCCAAAGGGGAGATGGCAAGAGGTGCAGCTGGAGATCGGTCAGAGAGAGTTCCCTCACAAGTCTACACATGAACTCCGTATTCGAGGGTTGAAAACCCACGGACTCTGTCTGGCCGTCTCCATGATGGTTTCAGTAAAAGGGTAGTAACCTTGCCAAACCAACATTTTTTAAATGAATCAGAGTCTGGGAGGCCAGGATAGCTGGTAGATACCTTGTAAAACTGCAAAATATAATGGTTTTAAGCTGCCAGGAATACAAAAAATCATTAGCAGACATCTCACTTCTACCTTGGCTGTAGAATATACTAATTAAGGATTAAAAACTATTTTCTGATGTCTCTTTTCTCACATTAAGCATGAAGTGATTTTTCTTTTTTTTTTTTTGCTTATGCTGGAATATCTGTCTCATTTAAGAGATTGATTATTCTAAGAAGGATAGCAAGACGATAGACTGTGGAAGTGCTTTAGCAATAGGTTTGCTGAAACTCTTGTTTATGTTATAAATAGTGTACCCTGCTTACACACGTGTGCATGTGGGTGATGGACAAGAAAGGGGTTGAGATTTGAGCTTCTGCATGCCAGGACAGGGGGAAACGGTGGCTGACGGGAAAGTATTTTCTTTTCCAAATGTGAGGGGTTAGAACCAAAGCTGCTGCCGTTTGTCAGTGGGGTGTTTTATGTGGAATAACAGTTGTCGGGGTTTGTGGTTTGGGTTTTATAAGAAACAAGGGCTTGCTACATTTTTGGTTGAGCGAATTAAGCTTAAAATGGCAAGATACTTTCTAACCATGATTGTGAACTTGGGATGGGGGTAGGAGCGGCTTCCAGGGAGAACCTGACCACAGGATAGCCCTCCTACGTCTCTGAGGCCTCTCGGCTTCCGGTTCCTGACTCCATTCCAGAAAGCACGAAGTAGGACGTATGGGGTACGGTCAAAGAAAGAGCAACCCTGGGTGCTTGCAGCCTCCACTCAGCTCTTTTGTGGAGAGGGAAGCATGGCAGTGTGTTACAGCAGAGGGCTGGCTGAATCCAGTGGGATTCATCATAAACTCCTTTAGCTGCTTGACCAGAGATGGAGCGCAGAGAAAGGGCTGTCTAACCCAAAAGACAACTGAGGTTTTCACAATCTGAATATATTTTGATGCCAGAGGCCCCAGAAGGGTAATGAGACTATCCCTGACCTGGCATGCGCTGACTTTTAGGAATACCAGATTGTAAAGAAGTCCACGCGCTCCCTAAGCGCCACTCAGGTGGAATCTCCTTGGAGACTCATTCGGCCATCGGTCATCTCGATCATCGGGCTGTACAAGGAAAAAGGCAAGGTGAGCTCCTTTCTGCTCACTGTTTTGGCCCCCAGGTGAATGTTAGCATATATTTCCTAAATGGTTAACTTTGTTGTTGTTTTTACATGAAATAAAAAATAAAAGATACAAAGAGGAGTAGATTAAGTGGCCTTTGTATAGATTTGAGTGGATTCCCTAGCATCCTTTCCTGTGGGCTGCTGAGTGAGTCACGCCCTTTTGGCCTTCTGACATAAGGAGTCCCCAGCACCTGGGAGCTAGGGCACAGGTGGGGGTGGAGTGAATGCTCCAACACTGACTACTATTGAAAGAAAAGCCACCCCTGTAGCTTCAGGGGATATATTCCTAGTTATCCTTTTGAATGAATTTCATAACATTGCCGTTATCACAAAGAGAAGAATACAAAAAAGGTGGTATTATACAAATGACAAAACATCCATTTCGATATTATACAAAATGGAAAGACTGACACAAAAGAATAAAATAAATATGGCACCCGAATTGTATGAAATGACTCTCCTGAGCTATTAATCGATCCATGTGAAGTTGCCATTTTTGGAGACCAAAGGTTGTCAAATACTGGCAAGTTCCTATGTTTCAACATAAAACTTTCTCCCTTTAATGTAATGCATAGCTGGTGCAATGCAAATAGATCTGAGGAAGGAAGTGGAAAAGGGAACGCAAATTTAAATTTATAGCTGGTTAGCTTAACTCTGAGCCTAGCTGGGAAGGAGGCCTCAGTTAAATAGAAACAAGAGCAGATGCCCTCAGTTAAATACTGCAATGACAACCTGGACCCCCTTCTGCTTGGGGTGTAGGGCCTTGGCTTTAGCATTGCTGGAGGTCGAGACTGCATTCGAGGACAGATGGGGATTTTTGTCAAGACCATTTTCCCAAATGGATCAGCTGCAGAGGATGGAAGACTTAAAGAAGGTAGGAGAAAGCCTCTCAGTGGTTCTCAGTGGTGGTGAGCTCTGATTCCTTCAGAATCTGCCCCATTGCAAGATGTGAAACCAGGGGCACAGCAGCCAAGGGCCATGGTCTTGGGGTCAAGTAGACCTGAGCTGAATCCAACACTTGCTACATCATGACCTTGGACAGTTGATGTAACCTGAACTTCACTTTCCTCAGTTTGTAAGCTTGGAATATTAATACCTATCTTGAGGAGTCATTGTGGGGATTAAATGAGATGATGTGTGGAATGATTTGATATTTTTTATTTGGGTCTTTAAATGTCTGTCTTGTCCCCTTGGTCCTTGATCGTGTTCCTTGCCTTGAAAATTCCTGAGAGCTTACAGGCCGTTCTTGCCTCAGGGCTGAGTACACACACACCTTTTATATTCTCCATAGCACCTGCCATTTTGCCATGCATAAACATACTAAATGAGTGCTTTTTTCCTCCTAGCTTTATTGAGATGTAATTGATCCATAACATTGTGTAAGTTGAAGACGTACAACATGATGGTTTGACATACACATATATTGCAAAATGAGCAGCACACTGATTTGGCTAACACCCTCATCACATCATATAATGACTGTGTATGATGGGGGGAGGTGAGAACATTTAAGATCTACTCTCTTAGAAATTTTCGACTGGACAGAACAGTATTGCTAACTATAGTCACCGTGCTGGACATTAGATCCTATTCGTGAGCCCTGATTTTTTTCCTGCCTTATTAACACATTTCCTTCATGAAACGACTAAATCACACTATTTGTAGTTACCTTCAGAAATGCTGCGATTGGTCAGTTCAATTGACTCAAATTTTAGGTACTGTTATGTTCTGCTGGCTTATTTTTTTTAACTGATTAAGAGTCCATTGGAGGCTCCTTTTTCTAGGCAGAGCTACCCTAGGAGCCTACAGGCTAATGATAAGACGTGACCAGGCTTATTTTGAGGACAGAATATTTATTTCTCTCTCTTAGAGGAAGGATTAACCCCCAGGTGATATTTGTATCTAGTTTCAAAACAATGTGAAATTCTTTTTTTTTTTTTATATATATATATCTTCTTTGGACAACTGATTTTTGTATCCCATGACTGTTCTAAACTCATCTACCTTTTTGGGTAGATTCTTTTTTTTTTTTTTGCTTCTTTGTTGTTGTTTATTTTTTATTGTTATGTTAATCACCATACATTACATCATTAGTTTTAGATGTAGTTTTCCATGATACAATGTGAAATTCTAACAGAGCATTTTTATAATGGATGTGCCATGTGCTCATTTGATTGAAATTCATCCTGCAATACTGGTAAGATGGGGGGAAATGGAGGAAAAAGCAGTCGTTAGTAAAGGTTAATAGCACTTGAGTCTCCTAAATACTGTTTTTTCATACGTGTTCATTTACAATGAAGGTAAATCATTGGAATGGATTTTCAACGTGTTGAATGATCTTTTAAAAATCTTGTATAAAGATTTTTAAGAGCATGAGCAATCATTTCCCATATGGAAGCAAACCAAAATCCTCACCTAGTTAGGTGATTATTTTTAAACAGGTCATTTCACCTCTTTTACAACTTCTGTAATTGCATTAGTGAGAAAGCACATAACAAATGCATGGGGTACTGCTACATTTTCAAACTCATCTACAGGATTCCTTTAGTGGAATACACAGTGTGCTCCTGGGATTAGCTGTCCATGAGAGGTGAAAAGCTGTGTTCTGATGCTGATTTGCACTTTGTTATAGGTAAGGGAAGTCCCCCTTTTGTCCTGAACTGCTGTACGAAGTTCATCTGTTCTTCTCTCGGGGGCCACTTTGTCGTGTTTTGATGAACTGTTATTCCAAAACACAGACCATGTTACAAGAGTACAAACCAAAAACAGACTCTTACAGGTCAACAGGATGTCCAAGCTGGAAAAATGACCTGACTCTACCTTCTTGGGCTTGAAGATGAGGATGAGTCCAGGATAGTTTGGGAGAGAGAGAGAGAGAGAGAGAGAATGAATGAGAGAGCTACTTGGTATTAGCCCACAATAATCTCTTAGATAGAAGCATGTAGTGATTGACCAGCTTCATGACTGAGAACCTGGAACAGCATCAATAAGACCAGGCGTCTAGACTATTTCTGGAGGCAGGGCTGCCATTCTTAAATAGTATCTCAAAAGTTTTTGTCTCTGTTATTAAAACAGTTTTCCACAACCCATGATGATTCTCCAAGCTCAAAAATCTTGTCTTTCTGCAAATACAGAAGTGGATTTCTCACATGTTATATATGTTCTTGCTTTATTGGCAGTGGCCTTAAGTTTTTAAACACTATGTGGAAAGACTTGGGACTCATTATTGCATTTTGATCTCTAAACGTAGGACTCCTTTTATCAAACTTGGCAGTGGCTAAAGAATAACGTCTTGATATGTCCCTTAGTTGTTTTCATTAAAGATGGAGATACAGAAATACTGCGAAAGAATATGCATTGTTATTAGTTGTCCCATTTTGTGAAATTCCTGGGAGCTAAGTTAATGAAAGCACACTGGAACAATAAAAATCATTTTATAGACTTGTAAATCAGGTACCATATGCTATCTTCTAAAGCACAATGTCAATGTAATTCTCCTATCTGGTCACTAGGGGATGAAATCCTTGATGTAAATGGAATACCAATAAAGGGCTTGACGTTCCAAGAAGCCATTCATACCTTTAAGGTAACAACATTCATATTTATCTCTTTTGTCTTCTTTCTTTTTCTTCCTTTATTTCCTTCTGGTTTGGGTTTGGGATTTTTTTTTATCCACCCTTCGATCTAGGAACAATCTGAATGTTTTTGCCCTTCTTTTTGTTTTTTCAGCAAATCCGGAGTGGATTATTTGTCTTAACGGTACGCACAAAGTTACTGAGCCCAAGCCTCACACCCTGCTCAACACCCACACACATGAGCAGATCCAGCTCCCCAAACTTCAACACCAGTGGGGGCAGCTCAGCGGCAGGCTCTGATGAAGGCAGCTCTTCATCCCTGGGTCGGAAGGCCCCTGGGCCCAAGGACAGGATTGTCATGGAAGTAACACTCAACAAAGGTGATACCAGCTCTTTCTCACTTTCATTGCATTGTCTTGAGTAACAATTTGTAATCTGTTCTTAAGTTAACCTTTTATATTTTTTCTATAAATTGTTCCTTTGGAACAATCTGCTGCCAACCACGTATGGTAGTCTCTAAATGGACAGTGGGATCAAAAGTAGAGATTTTAGTCGTTTTACTAAAGTGAAAAGAAGTGAGCACTAGCACAAAAAGTCTTTTAAGCTCTCCCCAGACGAATCACTGTGTGTCAGAAACTCAGGTTAAAAAAAAAAAGAAAGAAAATCATAGACTGGCTTAATTCTAGGGCTAATATAAAATTTTAAAGAACAGGGCGCCTGGGTGGCTCAGTCAGTTAAGCGTCTGCCTTTGGCTCAGGTCATGATCCCATGGTCCTGGGATCGAGTCCCACAGTGGGCTCCCTGCTCAGTGGGGGAGACTGCTTCTCC